TTTGAAAGCAGGCGCATGCTTCTGCTCTCGGAAGTGTCAGAGATGAAAGCAGTGCGGGTACCTGCATCCGCTGAAGAAGGAACTTACTACTGGAAGGCAGCTGCTGGAGACAGAGGTGTGAAGCGTGCCATCTGGCCTTCTTAGATATTGTTTACATCGCACAAGGCTCGTCCTCGAGCTATCTGCAACACCTGGAACACTGCAATAGACGCATCGGGATACAGGTTCTGCTAGACATTTGCAGATGATTCCTGGCGATTCCAAGGTCGTCGCGTGTCAGAGTACTGGTGTGTCAGAGGTTGCGCAGTGAGGTGCAACATTCATTCGCAGGGAGGGCCATCTTTGCGAGGAGGGTCACAATAAGGGTAACAAATTGCATATCGTGTTAAATAGGATTAGCGAGTTCAATAGAGTGCCGTCATATTGCAGAAAAAAAATGAATAAACTAATTTTAATTCAAAGGGAAAGTCAAAGATTCATAATCATAGAGTGAATTCCGCATAGAATGGACAAGTAGGTGGGTTAACGGTTAGAGCAGGAGATCGCTATTTGTGAATAGGAAAACAATTAGCGTGTCATGTATAACAAAAATAGTGGTGTTACAAAGAAAACAATGATATTTATATATTCACAGAATGTGTATCAAGATGCAATCAGTAACGAAGTAGTTATTAATAGTCATGCCATATACAGTTAAAAAATGCTAATGTTTAAAAATTGCAAACAGTAAATATAAATAATATAACAAAAACAACCGAAGCTCTCGATAACTGAATTAACTGGTACATAGTTATTTCCTCTGAGAGAAAAGGAAATACACTAAACTGTGCAATGGGAGGCCGACAATAATAATAGACAGGAAAAAAAAACATCAATAGCACAACAATATTATGCCAATTAAGAAATGGTTTGGGTAGAAGAATGAAGTGTGAGGTGAGGGTATGTCATTTAGCTCTCTTCGCAGTGACTTCATTTGTTTGTTGTTGTTTTGTTAAAATGATGGTTGAGAGAGAAGGCAATTCATATGTAAGGTGAGGGCGGGTGCAGAGAGAGCCAGATTGGTGAGTGTGGCGGTGTAGAGTGCGAGAATGTATCTTCAGCAACGTCGTCAGGAGGGTAGCAAAGTCGAAAATGGTCAGTAAGAAGTAGTAGGGCAGACATGATCAGATTCAGACTTGGTAGCAATGGCTGGGTATATGGGAGGTGAAGAGGCACTTCGATAGGAAGAGGGTTGCCATGAGTAGAATGTGGTCGAAATGCAAAAAACCGTTCATAAGGTGTGGTGTTTATAGCAGTTGACAGAAAAGACCTTATAGAATGTAAATCATTACAGAGTATAACTTCCAACTACTATACAAACAGAATTCTTGTTGTTAGTGCAAGGAATATTTTACCTCACTACCTGGTCATTTGCAATAAGATGATGCGACATGGATCTGTTCCTGAGACATAAAGAATGTACCTCTCTCAAGTGTGCATGTTCGATCAAGGTACTGTAAAAGGATACCTAGAATATTCATATACAACGGTGACATTACGAGATTAAGACAGCAATGGTCACTTAAAATAAATGCTTAGAAGTTCTAAAAATTGAATGACTTTGATAAGGGTTCTATCGGATGGTCAATAAAATGCAACTTTAATTCAGCAACGTTTCATGCGTCTTCAGTTGAAAAGAGTAGACCACATTTTCTTTACCTGGTCGATAGTAAATGCAAGTATTTCATCCTCCATTTTTTATTTATTTATTATTATTGTTTTTTATTATTATTATTATTATTATTTTTTTATTATTATTTTTTTTTTTTGGGGGGGGGGTTATTTCCTGTTATCTAGCATAAATACAACTGAGCATTGATTAGTGACTAGCATATAGTATTATAGGTGCCTTGATTTCTGAACTGCCTCTATCATAGCTGTAGTTTCCTTCTTCACCACTAGTTAATGTCACTAACTGCCCAATAATGTTTTGTACTTAAAGGCAACAGGTCTCCCACATTTCTAAAAAGCTACAATAGAGGTTTCACAAATTTTCATCTGCAGACTGAAGGATGGTATATTCTAATGTTTTGTGAAGGCCTCCACAGCCTGTTCACTCAGTAGAAAAGTAGTTATTGATTAAAAGATGGATTGTCGTAGACACATGAAGGCGTTATCACGTAAACAACGCGAGGGCAAAGCGGATGCTATAGCCAGGACGAGACATCAAAAATAGGATATTCGAGCGGACTCCAGACAAAAAATATGGTCAAGAGGGCAAAACACAGATGCAAAAAACAGAAGCGCCCCATGACTCAAAGTGGCGTGATCATCATGTGATAGAGGGTGACACCACATGATGGACAAACAAGCAGCAAAAAAGAAATCACGAGTGCAAAATAACAAGCAGTTTTAATCGATCGCAATAAAGATCACAGTGAATCAGTTTGGGAACAAGAAATGAACTCGGGTGGCAGGTAGACAAAGTTGAAAGTGACGAATACAGTGTTGAAAATTTGCTGGGACACAGGAAAGTCCTGACGCGAGTATATTTGAAATTAGTGAAAAGAAATTATATTATATTCATGATAACTGTTACGGGTGTGACCGGAAGGGCTCCCATAGCGGGAATAAAAGACGGTTAGTGACAGGCAAACGGCTGAGTAGATTTCGGAGTAGCATCCAGTAGCCATGTCACGTTTGTGGCACATCTTGGTAAGCCCGGTTGAAGGGATTTAGTGCCTTATCTTGTGGGAACATAGTGGACGGGAATGTGCTATGGATAATGTGGGTTAAGTAGAATTAGGGATTATTTCTTGATTTGTATGTGGCTATATAATGGACCAATAATAGTATTTGATTAAGTTAACTTTGGAAGTAAAAATTATATAATGGAATAATTATAGATTTGATTGTCAAGGTTGAAGAATGATATAATTGAATACTTATAGATTTGAATTTTAAGTATAAGGATTTATTGAGTTAGAAGTAAGGAATTAATGAATTACTTTTAAGAGATCTCAGCTCTACGGAAGTGTGATTTAACAGTGATGAAGATTATTAATTTCTAGTGGAGCGTAAGAATAATTTTGGGTTTGCATAATGTTTGTATCAGTTAAGTACTTTCTAGGATAAGTTTTTTTGCTTGATTTAATTACTGCTAAATGAGATTGATTTGGCATTATGATTGCCTGATTAAGGATAATATATTTTCTGTCCATTTTCGAAATGTACTCATTTAATTTTTAATGGAGATAATCTTAAGTTTAAGTTAGAAATTGTGTAAGGACATTAACTTAGTATTTTTAATTGCTTGGTATAAGTAGTTCATCTTGCTTAAGTATAAATTTCACTGATTTCTGTAATCCTATTTGTTTACTAATAATTTGATGTTTTCAGTCATTGCATGTGAAGAAAAAAATTATTTTACTTATTACTTATATCCAATTTAAACATTGACATTGTTTGCTCTAATTTCATAATTAATAACAGCTTGCTTAAATTGACATTATGTAGTTGCTTGCATGTTAACATTTAGAGTAAAGTGGCAAGCTATTTGTTAAAACTAAAAGATGGATATTCAGTGTGGTATAGTTATTGTATTGGATTATAAGGATATTGTATTATTGGCATATCAATTTATGATATTGGCTTTACATTTTGGCTATATAATATTCTTTCAGTTAATAAATAATGTAAATTCTCTTAAAAGTTGTGAACTTTCCCTCACACTTATCTTAACTAATCGATACAAGTTTGAAGAGTTAAATCTGTGAGAAAAATATGACTAGTATGAACTGCAAAGATTATATCAGATACTGAGGAGATAATATAAAATAGTTGATGCAAAAGAGGCAACAACAGGATTTTGTCTGAGAAATTGGATATCCATTTTGCAGAGAATATAAAGATTTCAACAGATTTCTTTAGTGGATCAAGATTTTTGGGAGAGGGAGCTCTTTCATGGGATGGAGCCTTTTCTACTATTGCCAATGCAGTAGCCAAAGTAATTTTGGTCTTTGATTCATTTAGAGTTGTGTCTTCTCACTGATAACTCTTGAGTATGTCTGTTGAGTATGGCCAGCGACTGTAATATTATCCTGTTTTTTTTCTGAACTGACTTATCCATTTGTTGTTCATAAGCTGGAATTGCATTTATCACCCTAAAGGAACTTGTCAGATTCTTTCAGCTTGATTTGGTGGCATGTGTTCTTTAGGTCAAATGTTGAAAACACGATGTACTTGCCTAGATTATTATCCATATCTTCAATCTTTGACAATGGGTAGACATCTAAATATTGGTACATGAATTGTGTGGGAGTAATCATTTTATTAGCACTGAAACTATTAGATTTTATAGCTATAGGTTTGTGTTTGGGAGACAGATTTGTGAAAAGTGATGGCTCTTCAACTGATAAGGCACACTAAGGAGTCAATTTTGGGATGGTTAACTCGAGTTTTATTCGTCCCAAGTTAAACTTCAGGCTCTATTGCTGTCTTTGAAAGTCATAACCAAAGATTATGTCATAGCAAATAAAATTCCACTGTTCACTGAGATTTAAATCTACTAATAAATATATCCAATAGAGCTTGTATTAAGTGGAGTATGAGCCACAGAAATATCTCCATTTATAGAATACTTTCTTATTTCAGATCTCTAGCCACATTCCCACTAATAAAATTTCCTGAACTACAGGGATCTACTAATGCATGGAGCTTCTTCCCATTTACTGATACCATTAACTGTGTACTACTCATTAATAATTCCAAATCTATTTGTAGACTATAGCCAGCGGGTACACTTCTGGCGTTAGTCTTTAAAGCATTTAATCTTTACTGACTGAAATTGATAACATTTTGTATCAGAAATAAAAGTGAAAGCCTTGGATATTTTCAGGGTACCCTTTCCTACCTGTGTGTTTCCTTGGTCCACATTTCTGTTAAAGGATAATTTCTCTTTTTTAAGATACGCATTTGTGATAATTTTTATTACAGCACATGTCAACCGATACAAGGTTTGG